CATTCAACAGTATTAATTGACTTTACAATAAATACAAATCGATTGCTTTTAAGTAAGCTGATTATTGAGCACTTTGGAGAAAATCCACGGCAATGTTTGCCATATAAATGGAGGCGACGGAAACGTGCGGCCGGACCATATTGTTGGCCTTGGCATGCGGCACACGGTGCACGGGCCAGAGCTTGTGATAGTACTTGCCACAACTTCAGGCACGTAATTTACAATCTTGCAGCAGGTGGTGTGCTGCTCCGAGAATACTTGTTGTTGTTGTTATTGTGGCAGGCTGCAACTGCAGTTGTCCTTGAGATTTTTGCTCGTAATTTGTTGCTTTTTATGTGTGTACACAGGGCGTATGTGCAATATATAAACAAGCACATGGTTTTGGTCAAAGAAAAAAAAACATTGCATATCTTCGGGCGCACATCTAAAGAATTTAATGAATTTTTAAAAGTTATTACTCAAACATGGTTCAAATGAATATTCGAAAAATTTGACGTGTGGTCATCAATCTCTGGCACACAGGACACTTGCATGTGGCGCGCAATGCGGTCTTTATGCAACTGCTGCAAAACACATGACCGCATATGGTCGAGGCTGGCTTCCGTTGGCGCACACATTTCAGGCAGACCGGACATTTGTAGGGTTCCATATGCGTTGCGGGCGCCAACAATTCCGATTCCTTTCTTCTCACCGACGGCTGCTCCACAGCTGGACGAACTGGTGAGGCTGATCTAATTGGGCTGGGCGGCAATGGAGGCAATGCTACATTGTTGGCGCTGGCTACATTCGATCCGCCAATCATTGACAATGACGGCAGCCTGTAGGAGATCTCTTCCAGCGTGCTTGTGTGACGATGTCGTATCGAAGTACTGACAGCTGGTATTGCCAGAGCCGAAGCATTCAGACTCGATTCTCGATTCAAGTCGATTCTTGACGTAGGACCGCGTGGTGGAGTTGGCAAACGAACAGCAGTTGGCACTGCTGAGCCAATTAAATTAAATTCACGATTTGACTGTTCTGAAGTCTCAGTGGGCTTATCTGCAAAATGTTTTTAGGTGGGAAACGGCAGTATCACACATTAAAAAGAGAAAATTGGAATGCCCTTCTGTCCCTTCGATGCTATAAAAGCCAGTCATAAAATGCACTTCGATCTTGCTCATGATTACAATTTTCAATATCTATAAGCCCCCTTAGTCACAGCTAGCCTTTCCCCTCTTAAGCTCCTATCACAGTTGAAGAGACAATCTCGCAGTCATGCTTATACTTACTACTAAGAGTGCCCGATCCTACCCGTGCCATAGTTGACTCTATGTTCTCGCATTCGAGTTGCACTGCATTTGAAAGTATAAATAATTATTATTCTTGCTCCAACTTATCATGGAGCATGCTTACGGCGTGTTAATTCCGCATCCATGTTCCTGTAGTCGAGCAGACTGGATGTCCAGGCCTTATCGTTATCATTTCTAGGCCAACCCAGATTGTTGGAACTGTTGCTGATGTGGGTGGGTTCGTCGATGCTGTGCGTCCTGTTGTTTGTTGTTCTGTTGCTTGTGGCAAGACTATTGCCATCATAGTTTTTGTATAACAAGCTAAAATATTGATCGTCCATCATACACTGCTCGGCCACTGCTCGCTCCAAGGCGAACTATAAAAAATGTTGCTCAGACACAGTTGAGATTAGGATATCGATGATATCGCTTACCTGGGAGCGACGTATTGCATGCGACATTATGTTATTTGTAGTATTCGAATCTCCGTTGAATCTAAACATGATGATTACCAGAATTTATAAAGGCTGAAAAATAAACTTCATCTGTAGCCTATTTTAGACAAACTGATTCGACAGTTAAATCGCTTTCTGACCATATTCACATGGATCGCATGATTCGAACATAACATTTCTAATTTAACCAGTATTTGAGCTCGGTAAGAGGATTGCAGCTCAACCCTTCACATTGTCAATCCAAATTCAGCGTATTACAAATTTATGCCGCTGAATGCCTTGACATGTGTCTGCACCTACTTAATCACAGGGAAACCAGTGAAAAGCCGTTGCGGCATTTCCTTTACGATGCTGTCGTATTAAATCTATGCCAAAAGCCTTACAGTCAGCATCGTTCTGTGCCCTGCCAAACTCTTCAACTGTTTCGCTTTAGACGCTTTACTTTTTATGACCTGCAGCGTAGACACACACGCGAATCTGTCATCCTTTCACACAAACACAGGCGTGAGTGTGTATGTGGGCTGGGTGTGTGTGGGTGGGTGTGAGTGTGTGTGTGTGGGTGTGAGTTTAGCCAGCGCTTTCAAAAGAATTTCTGTTTGATTGCAGAGAATAAACAAGTGAAGGCAGCCGCTGCACGCGGCAACGATTATTTCCGAGGGCTGTTCAGAATGTAATGCGTTCTCTTAGACATATGCTACAAGGTTTTAATAAGGCAATCAATAACTAGCTGATAAGTTATTTTTCTTAAAAATAAATTATGTTATGCAGATTTTATATATTAGATATATTAGAGATTTATTAGAGACTAATGCGCAATACATATGCTAGAAAATTGCATTAATGCAAAAATTAAAGAGCTATTAAGTTGTTTTTTGTTTGATAATAATTAATAATATTATGCAAAATTTATACAGATATCATATATCTACTTTTAGGGGCAGATTTTTTAGATATATTAAAGATAAATTACAGGTCGCGTTCTCTAATACATATGCCAGAAAGTTGTATTAATGCAATAAATAAAGAGCTAATAAGTTATTTTTCTTAAAAAAAAAATAATAATATTAAGCAAAATATCGACACATGATATAATCTACTATATAGTAGAGATATATTTTAAGCTAATGCGCTTTCTCTAATACATATGCTAGAAAAATGCATTAGGGCAATAAATAAAGAGCTGAAAGGTTGTTCTTTTTTTCTAAAAAAATAATTAATATGCAAAATAGGTACACTTAATATGTATCTACTCTTCTTGGGCGGTTTTTATAGATAGATTAGAGATATATTAGAAGTTAATGCGTCTTGCGTTAACGTGCATATTGTAGCGAATGCAACTATTTGATATACCCTCGCCAATAAGTGACTGGGTTGATTTGCTCTCCATTTTGCCTGCAGCGTGAGCTGAATATTACACACATCCTGTCAGGGTATGCGACATTTATCCTTAATGCGCGTTTCAAGCTTGTGGCCAAGTGCGGTTTTTTATGCGCAGCTGCTAGAGTTAAATATCATATTAATAAAAATAAATGCATTAAAATCATTTATATACTTTATTTATGTTGATTTTGCATTCTTTATTGAGCTGAAAGGCAGTTGAAATGTCGTAGCCTTTGATATATGCTTGAGTACCCAATGGATTAAGTATTCAATGAAATATTTTAAAGTATGTTGCATATATTTGTTATACGGGATTTGTATCTGGCAAACTGGCTGATTCGATAAAGTCTTGTCTCCTTGTTCTGTGCCTTCGGTTTGATTTTCGGCTATTGTTCAACAGATACTTTATTAAAAATTGCATTATTATCAAATTATTTATGAGCAAGAAGTATAAGAGCACACTTGAGAGCTTTTATCTTTTCTCGCAAGTAATTTGCCCAACTCGGCTGCCATTCAGTCAATTAATCAGGCTGTGTGTCAACAGCAGAGGCCGGCGGCCAGACGCACTTGACCCTTCAATTGCCCGCTTATATATATTTTCGTGAGTTTTCTTGGACTGGAAAAGAAAAATCGATGCTGGACTCGCCTGCATGGTATAAAATTTAAGCAATATAAACAATCAACACCTGGCCCAGGTTTGGCCCACTAAAAATAAACACACACACAGCCTGGGAGGCCAGATATCGAACACTGTCCAACAATGTCTGTGCCATAAATAAATCAAAGAATTCAAATTCCGCCAATTAGCAGGCCACATGGTTACTCTCTATATCGATTTACATACGCACAAAAATAAAATAAACCACAATACAAAGCAAAAATATGTTAATTTTGATGTGTTGAGCAATCGAAGGGCGTTCTGACCTTTTGATTTTGACTAAACGTGTCATCCTAATGAGGTATACAATTGTCTTTGTGTGTGTGTGTGTATGTGTGTGTGGGGGGGGGGGGGGGGGGGGGGTATATCTGGCGACTGCATAATTTATAATTGTGCTTAACAAACTTTTGCATAATTTGCTGATAATTGTTTTGCGTTTGTTCGTTTATTAACGAGACTTTTAGCCACAATTGCTTTTGTGTAATTGATATATGCTCCTGATACCCTTTCACTAAATGTGCATTTAAAAGGGGTATACTTGTTTTTTGCGATGCTATGTAACAGAAGAAACCTCTTGTTGAGCCGAGTCAAGCTGGTCATTGATTTAAAATTTTTAATAATTAAATTTCTTATGTATTATAAAAATGGATGATTAGCTTTTATGGATGAGTATTGAGTGCAAAGAATGGATTTTTTTCTAGAATATCTATGAGCTTATACAAAAGGCAGATTAACCGAATTGCGGCTTGTGCTCTCGTTAGGATTACACAGATAAATACCTAAATTACAGAAATAATAAATTTATAAAGCAGTAGACTTGTTTTTGGCTACAATCATACATTTGATTACCATCATTAAGCCCTGAACATTTGAAGCTGATCAGATAATCAGTAGATAACTTATTCACGAATAAAATTTCCATGAGGCTAAAGGAAGCTCAACCGCTGCTTAAGCTCAATGTTGATTACGGGCCATCCTTTAGACGGACATTTGTTGCCGGGACATTTGATTAATTCAATTCTCGGGACCAAACTTGAATGTAGCTTGAATTCAAGCCGTAAGCCAAATAATCTATATTTATTTGTTATTATTATTATAATTGGGGGCACACGCAGATATAAAATTTCATAAGCGCCACAGTTGAAATGTTGGGCAGCTTTTAGCTGTACTCAAAACAAATTACCCATTTAACACGCAAAGCTAATGGCCCAAAACAACTGACTTTTTGTTTGCTTGCAGCTGAGGATATACACCTGAACGATTTATATACACGCTACCGGCAGAGGCTGCGCAAGTCGCTGTTCAGATCGGGCCTGGTCACATCGCTGGTGGCCTGTGTCGTGTCCATAATAATTGGCATCGTTTACGAGCAGGTAAGAGCATCGGCATTGGCACTAACACCTGGTCGTTGAGAGTAAATGTGTATTGTGGATTACAGCACCTGTTGCAGACCCTGCTGCTGGTATTGGCCGCCCTAATCTCTGGCTCGATACTGACAGCTCTGCAGTTTCCGGCGGTGCTCAGCTCGCCAGCGGCAGCCTTGGCCTTTGCCATTGTCACCACCTTCTCGCTGGGCACCATTGCCGCCATCACTGGCGGCGAGCTGGCTCCGCTGCCCATGTATGCACTGTTTCTGGTAAGTAACAATCCCTGGCGCGGATTAATGTATTTGTGCTTTAATGTGTGTCTATTGCATAACAGGGCATCCACACGATGCTGCCCATTTCCTGGCCGGTCTCCGTGGTGCTGGCGTTATTTATGACGGCCGTACACATCGTTTACAGAATCGGCACCAGCCCGGACTATGCGCCCAATTTACCCATGGTAAGCCTTTATTTGCATTTTGCATTTCGCAATAGTTTTGTGGGTGAATGGCACTTTATTTTCGTTGTACATGTTGAGAATATATCTGAAAAGTTCCTTACTGTTCTATGATTTTGAAAGCAGGAGAGATGCAGTACAAGTAAATGTACAAGCTGGCGCTTTATTATATTATATTACAAAAACAGAACTTTTTTAATATTTATATAAGATCATCACCTTACTTGAATTCATGAAAATCGAATAGAAAGGCAATATTTAAAAGGGAGAATTCAAGTGAATGTACGCGAGTACCTCCCCTTCCTTTCAGTCCGTTGTTTCCAACTTAAAAATAAAGCATATTTAAAATAAAGCATTAAGGATTTGCTGGAGTTAACAAATACCTTAAATTGAAAAGAAACTTTGATTGTTCATTATGAAACTTTCAAACCGATTGACAGCATTTTTGTTATCTTTGCAAAAATAATTCGCTGTCAATTTCGATTAGCTATATAAATAACTAAACTATAATTGGCCAATTAATATTGTGATAACTATTTATTGCTACTCACACGAACAGCTCGAAATTCATCTGCTTTACAGCGGGCAATCAAATAACTTGGCTAACTTTTGGTAACATTTGCCCCACTTCAATTGCACAACACAATTGGCCTGCTGCCCACCCAAACCCATTGCCTGGGTATTGTGGCAGAGTTAATTAGCTGGGACACAATTGTATGTTGGGAATTCCGATTACGGGTCTGTGGTAAAACGTTGCTGGGTTTGGTTGCCGCCTGTCAATTGGTTCTATTATTCAATGTTTCTGGCATGACCCCGTTTAACTCTCTCTCTCTCTCTCTCTCTCTCTAAGCTCTTTGGGGAGATTGTGATGTTGGCCAGCGCATCCGTTTCCGGTCTGTACTATCGCATCATGTCGGATGCCGCACACAATCGCACTGTGGACGGCACACGCACTGGAATCGAGCAGCGCGTAAAACTTGAGTGCGAACGGGAGCAACAGGAGCAGCTGCTTCTAAGCGTCATACCCGCATACATAGCCGCAGAGGTGGGTAATTGGCCTGGTTTCCTACTGACTGAACCCACATGCTTTTTGCTTTTAACATTTATGTGTGCAGGTCAAGCGAAGCATTATGCTGAAGATGGCGGATGCGTGTCAGCGTGCCGGCGGCCAAGCCTCCACGTCGGCGACGCGCTTTCACGAGCTGCACGTGCAGCGGCATACGAATGTCACAATACTTTTTGCGGACATTGTTAACTTTACGCCGCTGTCATCATCGTTAACGGCCAGTGATTTGGTCAAGACACTCAACGATCTGTTCGGTCGCTTCGATCAAATAGCCCAGGTGAGTACAGCAACTGGTCAACCGGTTGAACCTTTGCTTAAACGTGTGCAACTCTTAAAGGAGAACCAATGCCTGCGCATTAAAATTCTGGGTGACTGCTATTATTGCGTGTCCGGGCTGCCCATCTCAAGGCCGCAGCATGCCACCAATTGCGTCAACATGGGCCTACAAATGATCGATGCCATCAGGTGAGTTACTCTTCAAACAAGTCAACACTGTCGCGCACGTTACGTATACGACATGTTTGCCGTTGGTCGACCTTTTTGACTTGCCGTTTGGTGTTTGATTTTACAGTGCAGGTATGTGTGTGTGTGTGTGTGTGTGTGTGTGTGTGTGTGTGGTCTTCAGTTGCCGCCAGGGCTTGTGTAAACGTTTGTTTTACTTTCAGCACTTTGATAGTTGCTGTCGGCCCTAGGTGGATGGATAGCTGGATAAGCACACTCATCTTTGACACAAGTGCAAACAATTGGATGTATGCTTACACATGAAACAATAAATTGTACACGCTTTCTACTCAATATCAAGCACAAAGTAGATTTATGTTAAGCTTTAATGTTTGGCTTAACTAGATGTCACTGTTATTGTTATTTTGCCTTCGCTTTGCTGTCGGCTTAATGTTTTCGTATGTCAGCTTTAATTGCCAACAGATAGACACGTACCCAGTTTTTATGGCGCCTATTAAAAACGTATTATGCAATAAAACAGACGGGCACAAAAAAATGCGCAGAAAAAACCCAAGTAACATAAAATACAATATACAATATCGACACAAAAGCCATTTTATTACATGCTAGGAATTATGCGCAAGTGCCCAAGGACCAAGAACATAATGTCCAAAAATGTTTACAACTCTCTGACGTATACCCTACAAATCGGTAGAGTATCAGTGTCCAACTGATGCTGTTAAATCTTCATTGAACAACTTTCAAAAAAAAAAAATGTTTAAATAATGTTCGATATTTTTTCATAAAATTGTTCTCATTTTTCTCAAACATTTTATCATTATTTTTCAATTGAAGCGTATGCAAGTTTCGGCAGCATTATTTTTTGTTTTTTTTTTTGTTTGTTTTTTTGTTTTCCTGTTTTATTTGGCAATGCGCGCATTTCTATTGTGTTTATTATGTTGCTGTGGGTCGCTCGCTTTCTTACATTTCATTTCATTTTATTTTACTTAAAGTATTTCTTTTGTTCTATGCCGGAAGGCATTTGGCTTTTCAATCTCTGGACGACTGTTGTGGCTTAAGTTGCTTTTTCGCTTTGTTTGTGCCATGCAGATGCAGCCCATTAAACAGGGCGACTTTTCTACTTTGCTCCACATGAAAATGTCAAATTTGTGTGCATGTGTGTGTGTGTGTGTTTGCGTGAAAGGTGAAAGTTTAATTGGGCAGTAGAGCAGGTCTTCTTTGCTCTGGATTTCATTTTTTTGGCATATTTTTCGTCTATCAGAATGAAAATTGTGCTGCGCACAAAAGTAGGCAACACATTTTTTTTATTTACCTGAGCACAATTGAATTCCAGGCATGCCCACATTTGCCACATTTTCTGCGTATCATCTAATTTAACTTAACAAAAACTCAGCTCTGAACAACATGTTTTAATAATGGCCTTTAGATACCCACATATACCTGCTATATTATGAGTACTCGGGCCGGATTTGTGTGGGGCAAGAAAATTCACAAAATATGGCACATGCGAGTAGTCATACTTCTGAATAATTAAATTAAATTCGCAAAACTTTAACAAATTAAAACGGCCGCCTCTCAAGAACTTTGGCCCTTGAGCAAACCTGCTGCATGGTACCACACACAAGCATATGCTGTTGTTTGTTTGTGTAAGTGTTGCAGTCGTAAAACAAACCCAATGACCCAAAAAAACAAATAAACCGAAAAGGACTCCCAAGTGATTTGTTTTCCAAGTCGATTTACTTTCGTTGCGACTCATTTGGCGCAGGAAATAGAAACAACACTGCAGCACAGAAAATACTATTTAATGTTAATAACTCAAGGACTTGTTGGTCTAAACGTAACTCGATAGACACGTGTATTTATATGAGTGGCCAGTGTCTCGGCCAGCCGCATGACATATATACATACATACATATGGTATATCAGGGCTGGACTTGGACTTGGCCTGTGGTTTTATGGCTCATAAAAATGGTGCTTGTTACACAACCATAGAACTAGTTAGTACATAAGTATGTAAATATGTCGTCTGTACAGAACGGCTTTCATTGTTTGCCCTTCGCTTTTGCTTTTATTCTGACAGACACGTGCGTGAGGCGACCGGCATAAATGTTGACATGCGAATTGGCATACACACGGGCAACGTGCTCTGCGGCGTCCTTGGCCTACGCAAGTGGCAATTTGATGTTTGGAGCGATGATGTTACCCTGGCCAATCACATGGAGAGCGGCGGCGTTGCGGGGTAAGTTTCATTTCCTTTTCTTCTGGTCGATGACGCCCCAAAAGCTAACTAGCAAAACTAACACGAACACGAGCCCGGCAGCGTATTAAAGCAGCTGCAACTAGCTGCTGCTGCTGCGGTACACGTCATAATGGCAATTTAAATATGTCTTCATGTGCGTTCCAATTAGGCACGCCCCTTGCCTTCAGGCTTCACCTGCAACTGCAGTGGAAGGGCAGCCAACGTGGCCTGTACTACCTGTAATTAGGGCTGTGTCTGGCCTAAAAATAGGCAACTGACAGCCAACTGTGATTATATCATCTGAAAATTTATTCGTCTGGCAGAGGTTGCCCCAATCTGGTCTGAGTAATTGTTCATAATTAAAGTGCTCTCTTTAAGTATGGATAATTATGTTAGAAAGTGTTTTAAAAATATTATTATTATTATTTAGATTCTGCCCACAATCCAAAATCTAATCCAATTTATTCCTTATACCAAGCTATTAAAAACAACAGCTTTCTGCGCCTATTCGAGTCAAATGATCTGTAATCCAATATTTCGGTTCCCTGTGCTTGCACACGTAGCCTGCAATTATTTGAAATTGAATTGAAACGTTGCTCAATGAGCCAAACGAAACATTGGAGCTCATTCTGCGTGTTACGCACGAGTTCCTTGAGCATAAATAAATTTACAATTGAATAAGCGGAAATGTCAGGCGACGCATATTGTTTAAAGGTTGCTTAATTTGCATGTAAAAGAATAATATATTGAAATTCACCTGATGCGTGGTGAATGTGTTTTTTTTTTTTTTTTTTTTTTTTTGTTAACAGTCGCGTGCACATCACAAAGCAAACTCTGGATTTTCTGGGCGACAAATTCGAGGTGGAGCAGGGCGAGGGCGGTGCCCGCGATGCATATCTGGCGGACCATAAAATCGAAAGCTATCTCATTGTGCCGCCCAAGGTAGGTGCTGCGTGTGTGCCAAGCAATCGATTTACTAACTCACTTATCCACTCCGGCCGCCTCCGCAGCCCGCCTATATGCACAGCGTGCCGCGGGTCGTGGAGTGCATGGAGCACACGGAGCCTGTAGATGAGCTTGCCGTGCCCGCCAAGGAAGACAACGATGTAACTGAAAAGCTGCTGCCCGCTGAGACGCGTGCCGCAAATGCTGCCGCTGGAGATGCGGCCGAGAAGCTCTCGCCCACATCTACCAACAGCCAGGATGGTGTGCTGCATGCGCCACTTACCTCCGCCGCCTCCATGTCCATCAAGGAGCTGTCCGAAGAGGAGGACGATGTCGCTGCCACTGAGCCTCTGGTTGGCAAGCAGTTGGAGCCTGATGTCAGCCATGAGGCGCCATCAAATGTAACGCATCGCGGCAGCGGCGACTCGAACGCTTCCGAGTCAGCGCCCAAGTCGACTGCATTGTCCTTGCCCGCCGATGATCTGCTCAGCATGAGCGGCAGCGAGAGCGGCATCTCCAACAGCGGCACCCAACCAGCATCCGCATCAGCATCCGCATCGGCATCCAATGCAGCCAATGCCACGCCCACATCAACAGCAGCAACAGGCGCCGCCGCCGGCGTCAACAGTTTGACCGTGGCCGAGGCACCTGAGCGCTCCCGGCGCAAGCTATCCGTTCAGGGTAAGTGGCTACACTGGGATTAGCTCTCATAAGAAACCATTAAGGGGCTACAACAAGTTGCTTGAGATTTAGGTACTTCTGTTTTCTTGTGGAGAAAATGTAAGGCATGCATTAGCATATTTATTAAAGAATGACATGCAGTATAATCTAGAACTTTAATGTTTGCCAGACGGAAGTTTAAATACCCTAGTTCAAGTAGTTTTATACAAAAGTTTTATTTCCGACCAGGATATAGTGAAGTTTGCATTTGTAGACCATGGTTAATATGCAGCAAACTAACTTTTTGACGAATCTTTCTTTGGATGTACTTAATATCGTTATCAGAAGTTGATAAACAACATATATATGTAGCTCCTTATATAAGGAGCATGGTAAGACTCGTAAATACTAAAATTGATCAATATCTATGGAACAACAAATAAGTTTTTCAGACAAGCGCCTAACTATCGACCTACCATTCAAATAGCTATATGATATATTGATCCAAATAGAAAACTAAATTAGGATTGTTTTTGGATACCCAGCAATAAATATTGTATAATAGAATAGAGATGGGCGCGTGTTGTATTTTCGTGCTCGTGCTCGTGCTAACAGAAATATTTGCCGTGTTGCGTGCGTGTTTTCAAATTGCTGTTCGTGCTCGTCGTGCTTGTGTTGGGAAAACTCTACACGAAAAACTCAACTCTAATTTAAAACCTACTTTGAAATGCGAAAAAGGAAATATTTAAGCTCTATTAGGGTATTTGAGTCATGCATAGTCGTTAACTTATTTAATTTCTTGCTTCACTTCCAACCAGGTCTGATGTCCTTCGCCGACAGACGTCGCTCCTCCGGCGCCTTTATTGAGGGACGCAAATTGTCCATACACAGCGGCGAAAGTTTTCGCAGTCATGCGGGTGAGTTGCGGCAGAGCTCTACAGATTGCAGCTGGTAATGGGCAAAGGGAGGTGGAAAGTGGATGTGGAAATGGAAATGGAAGCCCATGAAACGCAACAGTTGAAAATCACTTTCGAAAATGAGCTCCAGCTTGTGCATAATTTTATCGCCAGTGTGCCAAGTTTTGCATCATAAATTTAATGTGCTTGCATTTGTTTGCGGATTGGCCTTTGTGCAAAAGTTTAACATGGCGAAAGGCGCGTCCTGTGGCCAGGACCACAACAGCAACAACAGCAACAACAGCAACAGCAACTGGCCAACCTTGGCAATTAAGCTCCTTTTTGACAGCCAGCTGAGCTTTGTCCCCTTTGCCACTTCAGTACCGCGGTCCTCTGTTGGCTTTTATGGCTTTTAATATGGTGCGACACGTGCCTCCACCTGCCAATTTGATGGCATTTTTAATGCGGACTTGGCATGGAACGTGTAAATTTGCTTGCAACATGAATAAAACTGATTAAATATTGTGTTGAAGCTCGCAGGCGAATTAACACGTAGCTTAAAAGTCAACGAGTAAAAATAATAATGTGATTTTCAAATTAACACGGAATCGAACAGTTTAAAAAACAGGACGTGATCAGAAAGGATGTTCGCCTGAATGGGTAGAGGGTATCCCTTGTTTGGGTTTTTTCTATTTTCTATTTTATTCGAAAATCATCCTTTTTATGGCTTGAGATATCCATGAATCTGGGCCATTACATGAAATTGAATTGATTTATAATTCTAGGTCATGTGACACGAAATCGTCCCTCCTCAAAGATGACCAAATACGTGGAATGCTGGGGCGCCGATCGACCCTTTGCCAATATTGCCGAATCCAAGCTGGTGAAAAACATTGGACTAGCGGTAAGTGTGGGTCCTGGCTGAAGGCCATAGTTTTTCCAGCTGCCAAGGGTCAAACAGCAGCAGCAGCAGCAGCAGCCGCCGCTGGGAACAACATTAAAATTAAATTGAATTAAATTCAATTGGATTTGTGGATTTTGTTGAGTTTGTCGGTTGTTGGAATTAAGTAAACAAGCAACAGGCATGTTATGCAACCGGCTGTTGCTGCTGCTCCAACAGCTCCGGCTGCTCCTTTTCCGCCAGAGGACAGCAAACTGAGAAACATCTATTATCCGTTGCAGAGCATTGCCATGATTGAATCAAATTTGCTGCCGCCAGAGCGTAAATGTTTCAATTTTAACTTCTTGGGACCGCCCACAGAGCTAAAGCCGTTCACCATGTGGTACCGGAATACGCCTCGGGAGGCCATGTACCGAGAACAGCCGGACACGCACTTCCGCTTCGACCTGATATGCGCATTTGTGCTCTTCCTCTCGCTGGCCGTGGTGCAGCTGATTGTAATCGAATTGTAGGTGAGATCTAATCCCAGAGGCGATTTGTTTAACTCAGTCTTGAATGCCCAACGACAGGAACCTGGCGCTGCTCGGCTCGTTGCTGGCCAGTTTTATTTCGCTGGCGCTGTTCCTCTATCTGAGCAACATGTCCGTGCCGGATGTGCATGCCTCAAGCACGGAGCGTAATGGCCCCGGCCAGGTGGTGGCCAGCAGTCGCTTCTTGCGCATGGCCATGTTCATCATTGTCAATATACTCATCTCATCCTGTGCCGTATTCAGTGTGGTAAGTGCATCAGCTAGCCAGACTTGTAAGTTTATGCCTCAGCAACGTTTCGCAACAGATCAATTACACGCTGCCCGATGAGTTGCCCTATGCAGCCAGCAATGCCACCAATAGCACCAGCGATAGCTTCAATAGCACGCTTCTGGAAGATCTGCAACCACTGGATATTGCGCATGCCATACCCAAAGCTCCGATCTTCCTTTGCTGCTGCGCCGTCAGCTTGGCGGCGATTTCGGCCTTCCTGCGTTCCGGATTTATACTCAAGCTGATTGCCATGCTCTTGGCTCTGATCGGACAGGTGATTGTACTCGGCTATAGCGATCTCTATGTGCAGTATAATCTGCTCAACTATGATAATGGGTGAGTGCTTTAGCTGAACTAAAGGAAACTCAAGCTACAGCAGGTAATTTACACACAGCTTACCGCTGGAGGTGAAGGGCTTTTTGCTGCTGTTGCTGGTGATTGCCGTGTTGCATACGCTGGACCGTCAGGGCGAATATGTGGCACGTACGGACTTTCTGTGGAAGGCCAAGCTTAAGGTCGAGCAGGAGGAGGTCGAGACCATGCGAGGCATCAACAAGGTAAATACTATATAATCGAGTCGCACTTGCCAGCATATTAGTTTATTCATTTGTCTCACTTAGATTCTGCTGGAGAACATTCTGCCGGCTCACGTGGCGACACACTTTTTGCATCTGGAGCGCTCCACGGAGCTGTATCACGAGAGCTACTCCTGTGTGGCCGTCATGTTTGCCTCCATACCCAACTACAAGGAGTTCTACGATGAGACGGACGTCAATAAGCAGGGCCTGGAGTGCCTGCGTCTCTTGAATGAGATCATTTGCGATTTCGATAAGGTCAGACTCATGATTCACCCACATTCGTTTGCTAGAATTTGCGTATCTTGCAGTTACTTTTGAAACCCAAATTCAGTGGCATCGAAAAGATCAAAACCATAGCCAGCACCTACATGTGTGCGTCTGGCCTGCGGCCCGGCAAGGAGGATGGCGCCACGGTAAGCAACAGCAGCTAAGTTAAGCCATCTGCTTAACTCTCTATGTGCATTAATTAATATTTCTTCAATGCTTTACTAATACTGTAAATAACCACATTGCGAATACCTGGCATGCTCAATATAGTCGCGTAGCTTTGCGGTAAGTCAAATCAAAACAAGAAACTAACGACTTCTTCGGCACGCCGAAGCTTTAATACCCTTGCAGACATTTGCCTTACGGATTTTCAGATATTTAAGTATAGTTTAGTTTTACATGCTAAGCTTAATTAAAATAAAATATATACTAGATAGTGGTCCGATACTGATATCGTTTTGCATATACATATATAGGTGGCAGGCATATTGAAACTTATTATTGCCGAGTCTAGTCAAGATATCTTGATAAACAAAAGAGTTTTCCATACAACAACCCTCTTCTCGACTGATCATTCCTATGGCAGCTATATGATATAGCTCACCGATCCAGTCGGTTCCGACGAAAAGCTTTAAGATGATAGCTTTAAAACTGATAAAATAGTTCGCATAGAATCAGAGAGACGAACAGACGGACAGGCTTATATCAGCTCGACTATTGATGCTGATCTAGAATATATATATACTTATGGGGTCGGAGTTGTCTTCTTGTATGCGTTACACGCCTTCAAGGGTATAAAGAAATTAAAAGTAATTGCTTAAAAAATCTATCAAAGTTTTGTTATGATAATTACTCGAGTTTAAAGCTATTTATCAGGGATTTGTTGTCCAAGTCCAAGTCTTCAAAGCCTTGTAAACAATTTAAACAATCGGCGAAAGTACATTTAATAATAAAATATATAAGATTAAAGAGCTGCCTGCAAAATCAGCTGACAAAAACATTAAACAAACGTAAGAGTTAGACATATTGTATAAATTTCGGAGATTTTAGCCAGCCAGAAACTTAATCATTTCGCTAACAAATGACCAATTCGAATTGCTAGAATGTTATTTACCGTTTAAATGCCTTTTAATCGCCGCTTAGTAGTTTAATTACACAGAGGGAAACAGAACAGAAAAGAAAAAAAAGGGATCCTAAATGAGGGTTGCCATTGGACAGGGATTAGCCAAAGTTTAGGCAGCATACGCTCAATTGGCTTTCACGTTGCGGCGGGTTGACCAGGCCAATAAAGGCGACTGCGAGCATAATGAAAATACCCAAAAGCCAAAGTAATGTAACTTTTGTTCAATATCGTTTTTGTGTTTCTTTTTTGCCCCTTGTCTGTTTAGGATGAGAAACGCACCGAGGAGCACAATGTGGTCATATTGGTGGAGTTTGCAATTGCTTTGATGTCCATATTGGATTCGATTAATCGCGAATCGTTCCAGCGCTTCCGGCTGCGCATCGGTCTCAACCATGGCCCGGTAATTGCTGGCGTGATTGGCGCCCAGAAGCCGCAATATGATATCTGGAGCAATACCGTTAATGTGGCATCCCGCATGGACTCATGTGGCGTTATGGGCAGACTTCAGGTAAGCAACAGCAACAGCAACAGCAACAGTAATGAGGCCTTGTGCAACCTGTGCGTTCGTTAAAACTCTCTTCCTCCGGCAGACAACGGAAAACACAGCTAAGATATTAATGGCCGCCGGATACGAGTGCGAGTGCCGGGGCCTCACCTATGTCAAGGGCAAAGGCAATCTAGTCACATACTTTGTAAAGACACCATTCGATGGGAAATTGTAATTGGATGCGTCCAGTAAAAAGCGCAATTTGTTGTTAATATTTGCTATTTATAGAATGTATAGAAACATTTTGTTATGTTAAGGCATGTTGTTATTATTTTTATTTATTTTGGATAAACATATTTCGTTTAAGTCCTTTCAAGAATTTTAAGCATTTAATTTGCGCTGCACATTAAGAACTATCTATTAAGTATTTGTTTTAGTTAATGTTTAATTGTTATGTAGCACAATTTGTTGGCAATTTAATGCGTAGCTCACTTAAACAGCGAATAATTATATTGAATATGGCAACTACCATGCTATAGTATATAGTCAAATCAAATACAAAAATTAACTAAAATTAAATAACAAATGCAAATTAGCCCACCCCCCCAAAAATAATCAACACTAATAATATTATATAGGAAGTAATGCAAAATATATTTATTGTGTGTTCCCATAGATTCTTCGACTACTCGAAATTCCTATCGAAATCTATTGGAACACGCTATTTATTTAAATTTTATGTGCCATCTTAAGCTCTAACACAAATGTTGAACATCACAAACTATCTATGAAATTGTAGATTTTTTAAAAATAATTTTTATATTGTGCCACTTTTTGTTTTCTCAATTAAATAAAGCCGCACTTGCGGGCGGCTTTGCTGGAAACCATTTATAAATCGTACACTTTGAGATTTATATTATCTTATATGTGGCGCTGCAAAGTATCCCCCCCCAGAAAACATATCCCATCAAATATGCTATACCTCCGACTTAAGCCAATCTGATCAGTTCTTACCTATGGAAAAGTACTCTGAACTCTGTGCATATCTTTGCATTTGCTACCAAAATTTTACAAATATCCAACAAATAATCGAAATATTTACGAATGTATTAGAAATATTCATTGCAAGTTGAAAATATTATAAACGAAAAGAAAAGCTTACAGTTACATACATATACATATATATATATAGATTGCAGTGCTTTTTTATGTCATTAAAATAATAAGTGGTTCAAGTTGTTTGGCTATTTAGAAACTATTTGATTATTGCAACTCAATAATTTTATCAAATACTATTTATTAAATAATATACAATCGAAGCTATTAACGTCTTCTATTTCGAGTATTTAATTGTGGATTGAAACATCATTTGGCTGGAAGAACATAAATAGCTTTTTGGAAACTCTTTTGGTAAAAATCATATATTCAGTAGGCTATACAAGTCTTTTCAATCTGGTTTACAGTATATTTTACGTCTGTATTGTAACAGGATTGGTTATAAACTGCATATTTCGTTTTTCAAAAAGCAAATTTAACGTCAACTAAAATCACACTCTTAACAGCTGGCATTGCGGATCATCATGTCCGCCGTGGTGTGCGAATTTATATTCAAGCTATTCATTGCGTATCTCTGTTTTCTGAATCTGGCGAACATAACTGCAAAGCGAGCTTTCACACTAACCAGCCAGTATAAGAAATTTTTGGGCATACCCTATGGCACGGAACAGTTCCTGGAGATTCATGAACGCGAATATCAATACACGTTGCCCGCAATTGCCGCTGTATTGGCCTGCATGGGCTGTGATGTCATACATTCGTTATGTTTTCTATTTGTAGCCGAGGAGTTGCAGCATCGTTTGTGGCATTTGATGACCAAGCTTTTTTGGATTTCAAAAAGTCTGTGGTTATTTCTTTACATAGCAGGCTTCACAACAATTTTACGATCCCATCACGAGCTATACTTGATCACACATGGACTGCAGCTGGAGAACGTCGATGACTTGTTAATTAGTTTTAAATTTCAGTTCGTTTGGCAAACGGTTGTCTTCATATTCGCAATTATATGCTGGATGGAAGAGGACACTCTCACCAAAAACTATTACAAGCTCTTGATCTATGAGCGCGACTATCAGATTTAAGAATACATCACAATATGCGCTTGGTATGTAGATGATCTTATCAATATGCTGTTTGCCTCTAAGTCTCGCTATGTCAAGTGGCCAGTTTTCGTGTGGTGTCCGGTTGCCAGCGCCTTCCATCAGCATAATTTGAATTGAAAACGTGGCAGCACATTTTGTTGAACTCAGCATTTATCAACGCGTTGCATTTCTTGAACCAGAACCATTTTTCCAGGCAGTCTCATATACAACGCAGGCGCGGAATCGGGCACAATTCAGTCGACTTTAGAGCGTTCATCGAGCACATTTACGTTACAAAAGATTGTCTTAAATGTGTATTTTATTAAAATGTGAGTAAATTTAACTGCCTGACGAATATGTACTTGTTTAAATGTACATCAAATAAACGCAATAGTAAATACACTTAAGGGCTACGGAGATTGCAATACCTGTCTCGAGACGGATTTATGTCTTTAAAAATAATACATAAACAAAAGTTGATATATGGACAAAAAAAAAAAAACAAAACATTTAACAAATCACAGAAAAAAAAAACAAAAACAACTAGTACTTACGAACTAAATTCTACGATCCTATATACACACAAAAGTCTATTGTTAATGAATACGCTCTAAAAGTGGGGCAGACACACTTTGCCCGCAAATAGTTCGGACACGACTGTTATCCACAGCGCCAGTACAAACATTATATACGAAATGCCAATTTTAAATGTGTTTGGTAGCTGATACGCCTGTCCGCCAATCTCTTCGATGTGGAAACCCAACGGAAAGACAACGGCTGCCATGCAAAACAGAACCATTGCAGCAAAGCCCACCCAGCGGGCATATGGAATTACGTTGCGGTCCCAGGTGCTGGAGGCCAAAAGTATTATTGTCGTTGTGATGCATATGCAGCCGATGAAAATGCAAACAAGTGCGATTAGCCATTCCGGTTGCAGATCGGGCGTATAGCAGACCTGCGGCCGGTTGTACAGCGTCATGCAAGTCCACATCAGACCCAGCCGTATGTCTCCTGCAAGGGCAGCAACAACAATTTGTTATTGTTTAGCGTTCGGTTGTGTTAGTATTTCGAGATGCGGTTACCAGCTTCCTCTGTAATAATCCAATCGGGCAGCGCTAGACTCACTATGGCGAACACATCGGCGGCCATGAAAAGTGTGGCACTAATTGTTGTTAATTTGTCCATATTTATTGCACTATTTTCACTTTTCAAGTTATAAGTTATTTCCTTATTGTTTCTACACTTCAAGTTACAATGTGACCAGAGAACGCGAATGTGAAAATACTTTGAGGTATAGAGCTGCCAACTCTTTGCTTATGCAAAATCGTCAGCTGTTAACGACTATCGATTAATCGATAAAATAAAACTAGCGCAGCCTGTTTGAAATAATAACAAACTTTGCCCGTTAAGCTTATTATGTTAATTAGAGAAGTGCTGTTACGAGTTATATATACAAATATATATATATATATAAAGCAATACGTGTTTCTTTGGTATTTCTTTAACTACATAGAATTGGTTGTCAGATGATCAATTCAAGATAGCTTAATCAATAATGTCACAGATCGCTTATCTTCAGAACGCGTACTGGACACATTTAGCTACTCGGATATGAAAGAGCTATTAATGGAGGAGTAAACAAAGCTCATTTAAAATTAACATGTCTCATAGGTCCTTTGAGGGCATTTGAAAGCAATTACAATTACGCGTGAAGGAATTATATTCATACTAATACGTCGGGCGTTTTGCCGTTACCGGGCTACGCTGACGTGTCCTTAGCGCAGTCTTTATGGACCCCGTGCTATATTGTTGTAATACGAACATAGCTGAGTAGCAATATCTGTATATGCATATCTATAGGATGGTTCCAGCGCATATGATTGTTCATATACTTATTTTTTTGTACTGTCGCCTTTCAATGCGCTATAATTGTCCGGTATGTAGGTGGTGCTCCCATAGCCTAGCTAGTTCTCTGTTGCACTCATTCAGTTTTTGGTGGTGCAACACGACACTTGCCTTGTGTCGGCATCGGCTAACTCAAATTTCGTCGCGCCAGCGAACCGAGACAACCGAAAGTCAAGCGACCTCCTGTCAAAAGGGGACATTATGTTTATTGTTTGTCTGCACTTCAGAGTTACGAGTCGTGATTGTAAATAAACAAAATTATGCTTAATCGCGCAGTTCTCTTTAATGCGAAGTGACCGCTCAAAAAAATTTAAAAAAAACCAAAGAGTTATGTACGTATGTACATAAATATTAATTTGAGTCTCAGTTTACATTTTTGACTTGGCATCATCTTCAATAAAAAACGCTTCCATTTCAAGTAACTAGATTCTATGGACTTAAGTGAAATATTATTTATGCACTGACCAAACAGCAAAGTGAAGTTGAATACCAAAATTATCTCTATATTTTTAAACATAATTTTTCAACTGGCTTTAGCCGATTGCGCAACACCCTGTTGACGGCTCAATGGCCGATTAAACATGTCGACACCAGCTTTAAAAGTGTCAGGGATTTAGATGTTTGCTTTCCTTAACGAGGATTTACTCTAATACGCACTCCATGCTTTAAGTATCTAGCTTCAAAAGTGGTGAAAAAACGCACGAACAGGACGAATGGTCAGACAGAAAAACCAATATATTTTTGTTAACTTGAGAACAGAGTATAAGTGGATACTTTTACTACTACTACTATACAAATTTCAGAAAATATCATCCCAACAGTTTTTTCTGCGTTTTTAATGCAAAATCATGGAATAGTTCTAATTACATAATTTATAATATCCCACACGCAGATTCTTGAATTTAGAAGCTTTAATTGTTCTTAAAACGCTCTCAAACTGCTTGTTAAGGCTTTAGGAAATTGTGTTTCATATAATTTTGTTTTTGCATTGCAAATTATTGAAAGCCAAGGTACGAAAATGTACAGGCGCCAAGTAAAGTTCCAGTGCTCTTTTTAAACCCTGAACCCATTAAAAATGGTTATAAGGGTATATTGTGTTTGTGCAAAATGCAAATGTATGTAACAGGCAGAAGGAAGCATCTCTTGATCAGCATCAATAGCCAAGTCTATCTAGCCATGTCCGTCTGTCTGTCTGACCGTCCGCCCGTCTGTCCGTATGTCCGTATGTATGAACGCAAGGATCTCAGAACCTATAAGAGCTAGAAAGCTGAAATTTTAGATGTAGGTGCTCCTAGTTCCCGCGCAGATCGAGTTTATTTCCGATAATCGATAACATACTCCGTCTCCTAGCAATCGATAAAAATCGATATCGATATCCTGTTTTTTGGGTAATTTTTGTAAATAATAAGAGCTAGAGTCAGAAAACTTGACATATAGCTTCTAAAATAGAATATATATATGCATTTGATGTGGGAAGAGAGGGTTCAGGGTATCACCTAGTCGTGAGCGCCCGACTAGAACCTCGTACTTGTAATTATAATTAATGTAAATTCCGAGGCACAAATAATCCTATTCAAAAACGCTTTTGAATTATCTTAAGAAAGCGTGCTGAGCTTGCGTTTTTATTTTTCATATACTTTTAGCACTTTTGAGGACCGCATTAGCTTGGCAAATCTAATGTCAACAAAATCGGATTTCAAAACCGGGGAGCCATTCAATTGAATTACCCACAGACACACACACACACACACACACACACAACATTAAAAGTGAGATTGTTATAAACATAAATTGACGCTATAAAAGACAAGCACATGGAGCCGAGTGATAGCAGTTTTCAGCCCGACATGACCGCGGACGATTCAAAATCCGAGTCTGAGTCTGAGTCCGAGACGACTCATAAAATCGAGCTGACAGGCATAGGGTAAATACAAGTTCTGCAATCGCACACACAATGATCATTATCTATTTGGCAGTAATCGTAAAGATACGGATTCAATTAATGGCAGTAACCACGAAGAAGGAGAGCCAAAGTCTGGAGAAGCTAACAAGGCGGAAGAGAGTCGATTGAAAGAGCGCGAGGATAGGCCGCTCGTTCTGGAAGAAAGGCACTCACTTTCTATGTAAATACTTCGATACGAATAGGCACTTCATTTGGAACTTACAAATTCCTCTCCTTCTCTTTGCGTTTCTTTCCCAGAGCGGAAACAAAGAAGCGTCGAGCCAGCGTCTACTCCAACGAGAATCTGTTTATACCCAAGGAGCTGGCGCGCGGTGAACTGCATCTGCGTAGACAGCACTCGGCCGTGAATTTGCTGGATCAAATCAGCCGAAACAGTGACTATTGCATACGAATGCTCAAGTTTCCCGTTGGATCGGGCCGTGCTCGCTTTGTGGCCCAGCAAATGAAAAGGCGAAAAACAAGAAAATCAAAGGCATTGCCAAGGCTACTGCCAGATGTGCTCAATCTGGACGAGAACCGGGCTGCCAAGCTAGTTGATCCGGCTAAGGAAGAGTTGTGCATCAAGCGCGAATCAAATGATGAGATTTTACCACTAAACATGCCCAACCTGGATGCGGATAGAAATCAACTGCACAGCGATGACGAGTGCTGCGTCATACTGGAGGATATTGTCAACGGTTCCCTGCCCGAGTCTGAGGAGGATGGAACGGAAGAGTTGATTCAGCGCGTTTCCAGGCGTCAACTGAAGCGAGCCGCTCGCTCAGAGTTGGAGTAAGCAAGGAATATAAGAATTATAACATATGTACAACTAATTAGGATTAATTGCAGACCCACAAGGGAAGATCAGATGCTGGCCGAAAAACAGGAGCTGACACAATTGCCAGTCTTTCGTTGGCATAATCCACACTACAGTGATCAGGATATTAAAATGGGCATAAGGGAGGACCTGGAGCGTATAAGCTTATCGGTCAGTGAGGTGGCAGCCACAGCAGATGCAGTCGGAGAGCCGCAGTTGCGACGGGTGGAGGAGGAGCAGTTGGCGCAGCAGGAGGAGCCAGTATCAAGCGGGCTGGGAGCACCCACGCCTATGCTGGAAACGGATCAGCAATTGCTGTCACAACGCCCTGTGGGAGGAGAGGAACAGCTGGAAACTAGCGAGCCCGTGGGAGAGGTTCGTCACGCACGACAACAACAACAGCAGCCAGTTCAAAGTTTGCAACATGTTGCAAATATGCCATGTTCAATGCCAGCTGAAAGAGGGACCACATTAAGCTCATTATCATCAATCGAGGAACAGCGCACAGACTTGCAACAACAGTTCATGCAACGCATTATCCTGCCGCGATTTTACGGCGCCGATTTAGGCGCCAGCAACCATGCCATCAATTTGTTAAATGATAACATACAACAGCATTTTATGGAGTCGCTGATGCCAAGCGAATTGTTGCAGCAATGGTCAAAACAGCATTTTGAGAAATACGCCTACTCGCGGCCAGCCACACAGCAGCAATTGCCGCTGTTGTTGCCACAGCAACCAGCTCAGACCCTGCGCCAACAGCAGCAGCAACAATCTTACCTTCAGGAGCAGCACTTGGAGGCGGGGCAGAAGGAACTGCATCAGCTTAATGCACAGTATCAGCAATTGAAGTGCCAGCAGGATGAGCAGCTCAAGAATATAAACAAAACCCTGAAGGAGATTTATGCCAATCGGCTGCTTTGTGAGCGACAACATGCTGAATATCACAGAAGTTTCATGCACAAAATGGTTGAGAGCAAAAAGCAGGAAGAAAACCTACAGGCACACAAGAATCAGCTGAAAAGACAGCTGCAGGCGGAGCTAAGCAGCCTGGAACAACGTATTTCGGAAAAAGAACGCCAATTGCAGGATCGTACGAGAACATGGCAACATTGTCAACAGCAGCAGCAACAGTTGCAACAACAACAGCAGCAATTGCGATTGCAGGAGCAGCAACAAGATTTCGCATTCGATCAACAGCAACAGCAGCAGCAACAACGGCAGCAACTGCGCCTGCAACAGCAGCAACAACAGCCAGATTTCGCATTCGGTCAGCAGCAACATCAACATTTTCTTCGACGATTTCCGGCAGCCGTGTATCCGCCACGTTTGCAATGCTTTCAGGATGCTTTTTCGCCGTGCATTGAAACACGTTTGCCGCCCACCTCACAGTTGGAGACACAGCGTAGACTTATGCCAGCGCCGCCGCCAGCAACATATTGCGTGGACAACATGCAACCGCCAGTGGCAGCAACAGGCAACAGCAGCAGCGATGGCATTATGCGACGTCGACATACCATCGATTACAGAGCTGGCAATATTCTCTCGAATGCTCGATCATATCAGGAGCAGCATCTGATGCAGTCCCACTTGGCTGCTCACACGGATGCCCTGTCATATCCACAAGGGGCAAACTTTTCCAGCTTTGCCCCTGCAACAGCAACAAACAATATTCTAGCTGCCCAGCGTTTTACACGGTCTGAAACGCCAATCTCTAATGCCAGGCACCAGGTGAATCAGGCAATCGAACAAACTGCGATTACCGCCTTTATAAGCAACTATGTCTCAAATTATTTCAACGATATGGAGTGAAGGAATCCATGAATACGGGCAGTTAATTAGATCGGCTAATTTATGTGATTTTTTAAATCTAAGTGCTTTAAATAAGAAAACTAAGATTCGTGTATTAAACACTTGTTCCTACTACCTTTAACTATCATTATTAATATCATTATTATTATCATTGTTATTATGTACAATACTTTGGTCTCAGGCTCAGCTATCCCATTGATCCTTCTAATTTAAGCATATCTGTTGTTTTTAAATTTAAATAGAATGATGTCCCCTTGCTTTTTAATTTGTATTATTTTTTTACCCTCATTTAATTGTCCAATTAATTGCTTTGATTAGTCAAGTCTAAGGATAATCATATCTTAAAATATTGTTTCGCATTAAATACATTTTTATTTAAATTGCAATGTTTTTGTTGTTTCCATTATTAGTTCTATATTTTCTTCAGTATTTAAAGCACTTTCTCTAGAATCTCTGACTATTGCCGCCGCCCTGTCGTGCTCCTGGATGCGAATGGCAGCACCAATGCGAACAGCGAGGACAGAGCCTATTGCTGTAGCCAGGCTTCGAATTTCCATTATCATTTCCATTTCCAATACCATTTCCAATACCATTTCCATTACCATTTCCATTACTATTTCCATTTCCATTACCATTTCCATTACCATTTCCATAACCATTTCCATAACCATTTCCATAACCATTTCCAATACCATTTCCATTACTATTTCCATTACCATTTCCATTACCATTTCCAATACCATTTCCATTACCATTTCCATTACTATATCCATTTCCATTTCCAATACCATTTCCATTCCCACCACCATTTCCACTTCCATTCGCACTCCCATTCCCAGTTCTATTCGCACTGCCATTTCTAGTTCTATTTCCATTCACGTTTCCGAATCCATTTTCATAGTCCGATAGCCTATGCGAATAAGAGATTTCCGCCTGGCCAGCATCATTGCTTTTGGGTGGCCCTTTCCTACATGGTTGGTATTTGGGCAGAGCTGCTGTCATTGGATATGGAGGATATGGTGGATATGGCGGACTTTGTGAGGCTCTTGGTGACGAAAATTCTGAAGAATTTAATGAATTTCTTGGTGCTGGTGGTGTAATACTATTTTGCTTGGGCGTGTCGGGCATGGACGTGGGCATTGCTCCCATTGGCAAGCCTTCGGCATAGCCTGACGCTTGTATAGGCGCCAACAGCTGAAGCACAAACGTGGGCTGCGTTGGATCTGGACATGCATTATCAGGCTGCAGTTCGACCAGCCGGCAAGGCAAATCAAAGCGCATCAAGGGCTGGACTTGCATATCTGGAGTCGTGGTACATACATGCGGCTGTTGCTGCTGCCATTGCATGCTCTGGAACGGACAATAAGGCTCGCACTGCTGTTGATTTTGATATGGTGGAGCCATTGGTGTTACCGAGCCATAGCCAGCATTTACCTGCGGGGCCTTTGCCGTCCCTGACGCAGCTGTTGTTGGATAGTTGTGAGGTGGCAGCACCGCATATTGCTGTTGCGATGCCCGCTTCTGTCCTCTATCCACTTTCGGACATTTGGCCGGTTTTGAAGCGGTGGGTGGCGCTGAATTATAGGCGGCATCCGAGCATGTGTAATTTTGTTTGGGCGCTGTCTTAAGCGTTGACCTAAGCGCCGGATGCTGCTGTGGCATGAACTCACTTTGGCAATTTTGCCTTGGCGCTGGCCTAGCCACTGAGTACTGCTGTGGCTGGGACATGTGAATGTTGTTGTTGTTGTCGGGCGACGTGAAAAATTGAACCATATTCCTATAGGCATTATAGTTAAAACTATTGGGAATCGGCACACTGCAGTCGAAGCTTTAAATAAAAGATAGAAATTTCGTTAAAAATGCACTGAGCAAGGTTTATAAATCTGTACCTAAAGCCCTCGGGACCCTCGGTCACAATGCAAACTCCCAGCTGTTGGGAATCTGCCTCGCAACCGTTGTCGAACTCTGTCGTTGGCATCGGAGCATAGCGCAAGTTGTAATTGATTTGCTGTGGGAAATGTTGTTGCTGTTGCTCTTGCTGCTGTTGTTGTTGCTGTGGCTGGAGTTGCTGTGGCTGCTGCCTCATTTGCGATGGTTGCTGCTGCCTGATTTGCGAAAGCTTGTGCTGCACAGCTTGCGACTTCCTTGGGCTCAAGACGCGGCCAGATGAAGTCGCATGAATGCAGTGCTCGCAGCTCTCCGTGCAAAACATTTTGCAAATGTTTCAACACAATTCCGCAAACTTTGCCCCACTAGAGTTGCCCGACCTGGCCTGCGAGGCAGCAAGGATTGACAGCTACTATGAAATATTTACGTAATTTTGCTCATTGTTAGTCCAGAAATGATATCGATACGATACGAAATGTTGTTCTATTGCCCGGGCACTTCGTTCCGGCCTATTTCGTTGTGAAAATTGAACCAGCTGTGCTTAAGTAGGCAGACATTTTATGTGGCCCGCTGCCATAACTAAATTCAGATGTAAGCCCACAACAACACAAAATAAAATAAAACTTTTCGGATCACAAAAACTTAAAAAAAAAAAATAATGTCCGCCGTTGAGGAAAAGCCTGTGCCCAAGGATTGCGCTATTTCGTGTAGCGTAAAAAAAACTGGACAGAGCAACGGTAGGCGCAGCTTTATAGTCACGGTGGACGACAATGGCAAGGTCGAGGTCAGCCCCAGTGTCCAGTGCGAGCCGGAAGTCAGTCTGCTGCCAGTCAAGGAGCAGTCCAGCCCAAAGATTCGCAACGCAGCCCGAAAGTCGTCGCGGGGCGGCAAGCAGCGCCTACGGCTAGCGGTGCTCGAGGAGAACGCAGGCAGCTCGGACAACGAGTTGGCCAACGGTGAGGATAAGAACAGCAACGATATGATCAGCATTGATGCACAATCGCTGGAGACAATGCACGATCGTTTCGTGAAAATCTACAACAAAAAACTGCGCGGCAAGCCCAGCTTTGTGGTGCTCGAGGATGCGCTGGTGCGCAAGCGTATGGAGCAGACGCTGCAGGGTCGCGCCATCTGTCACAATCATGCCGAGCAACAGACATCCCCCTGCGACATAGGCGCCAATACGGGCTCCCAGACCGATGAGTTTCTGCTGCAGTGCGCGCTGCGGTCGAGCATGCTCAAGGGCCACAGCCGTGGCTGCCAGGCGACAGATGTCGCTGCCAAAACGCCCGAATGTGGAGCCTGCGCGGCCAGGCGCAGCAGCATGAGTGCGCCGCCGCTGCGCCGTCTTAGCCAAATGTGTGCTCAGCAGCTGGAAAAGTTGTTGCAAGCTGAAACAGCGGCTGCCAAGACTGCAGCCAAGCCCGAAACTGCACCACATGTGACCATCAGTTTTGTGCCTGTTGCAACACAGACGGCCACCAACACGGTTAATGCACAGCCCCAACAGCAACCATTGCTTATGACAGCAACAACATTGCCGCACAGCAACAGCGCAAATTGTTGCGCACACCAGAACAACAACAGTTGCTGTCAGCCTATGACAAAGGCAACGCACTGCCAATATTGCCAGCCAGCTGCTGCTGACGGCAACAATTACAGCTGCTGCTTGAGGCAACAACAGCAACAACTTCTGCTACAACAGCAGCAGCAGCAGCAGCAGCAGATGCAACATATGCAGCAGATGCAACATATGCAGCAGATGCAGCAAATGCAGCAGCAACAGCAGCAGCAACATCATTTTGCACAAGTACAGCAGCAACATCCGGTTGCAGGACCAACTTATACTCATTGCTGCAGCAGTTGCTGCTTGTTGAGGCCGACGATGGCACAAACAGCGCTCGGTTTTGGCCAAGCGCCGGCTATGCCGAACTATTGCAGTCATTCATTGCTGCTGCCGCCGCCGCAGACGCAGCCGCAGGAGTATCCCCTAAGAGGCTGGCCACCACAGCCCATCAATTCTTGCCTCTATTATCCAATGCCTGCGGTCAGCATGTCCGCCTACGACATACCACACTGTGCCAGCTGCCACATGCAGCGCCATTCCTGCGCCGCATGCTACAATGATTATCAGCAGCAACACGTGCACCATCTGCAGAAGCAGCAAAAACAGTTCGTCTGCCTGGGCGGCAGCCACCACTTGGATGACCCGCGCTCATCGTCTAGCACGCCCGAGCACAGTTCGACGTCCGAGGTGCATGTGAGTCGCAGGCGTTCTAGGCAGCACAAGGTCCGGGAGGCGACTGTGCTCAGCGAGCACGCAGACTCGGAGCTGCATACCAGCGCTTCCCAGCTGACGGTCAGACGAGTAAATGCACTTGGCTCCAGCGAGAAGACCGGCAAGAAGGTGCAGCCGTTGCGCAACAAAGCGGGTGCAGCCATTGCAGCCACAAAGGTTTATATGGCACGCTTTGGACGCACCTGCCTGGTGCTGAAGCCCACCTCGTCCGCAATGCCAACACGCCTGCTGACCAAGCGCATCAGCCGTTACACCTCCGTTATGGCCTGGCCCCACAAGATGGCCAGAAAGTAAATTATACAAATAACATTTACCAACGCAATAAACCCAAGTAGATCCGAAACTATGAAATTATAAATTGGGCATTTGGGCAGATTTATTACAAAACTCTCCTCAGGCGCTGCTGCTGCTGCTGCTGCTGTTGACCCTCTTGTTGTCCGGTGCACGGACACGGACAGTTTAAAGCGCAGCCTTGCGCATTGGAACTGATGCAATCGCCTGGCATACGCAGTATGCCATACTTGGCCAGAATTCGCTGATAGACGACATCATTGGGCAAAGCACGGGCGTTTCTCTGATATTGATAGCGGTTGCTATCAGGCTGGAATTGCGATGGTGCCCGGCTGTTTTGTTGTGGCATCATCATAGTTCCTGCTGTTGCTGGCGGCGGCATTGTTGCATAGTTTATAGCTGTGTTTATGTCTAAATTATTCAAATACTGAGGCTCAATCTGGTTATCTGTTTCCTCTGGCCAATTATTGACATGCTGCATTTGGGGCTCAACATCTGGCTGCACGTAGTCCTGATATGGCAACTGTTGCTGCAGCTGATGTTGCAACTGTGTCTGGAGCTGATGTTGCAACTGTGGCTGAGGCTGTGGCTGCAACTGTGGCTGCAACTGTGACTGGAACTGTGGCTGCAAATGTGTCTCCATCTGTGGCTGCATCTGTGGCAGCATCTGTGGCAGCATCTGGGTCTCCATCTGCGGCTGCTGCTGTAGTGCTTCATATTGTTGTGTTGGATGCAAGTCCTGCAACAATATTGCATGGCCATTGGCTTGATTAAAGCTCTGTTGGTTTGGCAGTGGCTGAATCTGTTGCGGTGGATATTGTCCCAATTCGTTGAGATACAGTTGCTGTCGATCCCATTGGAATTGCTGCTGTTGCTGCTGCTCGGCTGACCGATTTGAATAATTGAAGGACGTAGAATTTGCCGAAGGTTGCCCGTCGTAGCCTCGGCTCAAATCATATAATATTTGGCCCCTATTTTCAGAAACAACCGCTCTATGCCTGAGTGGAGGCGACACGATTTCGTTCCGCGTTGTGCTTAAGCTGGAGCTGCGCAATGGGCGCACGTCCATAAGTACGATGACTTCTTTATGCTCCACCTCGGACACACGCCTATTGTTGTATTCGGCATACATGAGACACTTCGATGGGCACTTTTTTCTTGTGCAATAACATACATTCGAACTGATGGAGCTTTCCATTTCCGGGGACTCGACTGCGGAACGTAATCGATACGGTTGCCTTGCAACATTGCTGGAAATGTTTGGTTTAAATTCTGGCCTTGACGGCACTTCGGAACTATCTTCGGTGTGAATATAATTTATTGCTACCGGACGATATTTTTGTGATCTACTCGATTCGCTTTCATTAGTGCGCGAATTGCCCACCATTGGAGTTACATAGCGATTGGTAATATTAATACTGCTTATCTTTCGGGCAGGCTGCATTTCTACTAAGAATTCAGACTCCACGTCACTTGTTTGTGCATGGCCCTCATCTTTGCCAGAATAATCACTATCAGAAGCTTCAAAACGGTTATAAATGTTTCGAGCCGACTTCAGCTCTACCGAAACTTCAGGTTCCACCTCTCTATTTTGTGCTTGGTCCTCGTCTGTGCGATAATAATCTCTTTCAGAAGCTTCAAAACGATTCGAGTAACTTCTTGTGTGTCGGGCAGCTTTAAGATCTGCCAAAGCTTCAGCTTCCACCTCTCTATTTTGTGCTTGGCCTTCATCTGGGCGATAATAATCTCTTTCAGAAGCTTCAGAAAGACTCGAATGACTTCTTGTCTGTCGGGCAGCTTTAAGCTCTACCGCAGCTTCAAGTTCCAGCTCCCTATTTTGTGCTTGTCCTTCGCCTGTGCGAGAACCTCTTTCGGAAGCTTTAGAACGATTGGAATTACTTCTTGTCTGTTGGGTAGCTTTCAGCTCTGTCGAAACGTTAGGTTCCTCTTCATTATTTTGTAATTCGCCTTCGTCTGTGCGAGAACCTCTTTCGGAAGCTTTAGAACGATTGGTATTACTTCTTGTCTGTCGGGCAGCCTTAAGCTCTACCGCAGCTTCAAGTTCCAACTCCCTATTTTGTGCTTGGCCTTCGTCTGTGCGAGAACCTCTTTGGGAAGCTTTAGAACGATTGGAATTACTTCTTGTCTGTTGGGCAGCTTTCAGATCTACCAAAACATCAGGTTCTACTTCCTTATTCTGTGCTTGAGCTTCGTCTGTGCGAGAATAATCTCTTTCGGAAGCTTTAGAACGGTTGGAAGTACTTCTTACTTCTGGGAATGCCTGGATATCGCCTTTGGTGGGATGGGAGGCTACCTTTTTTTTAGATTGTGATCGATTATTATGTGATCTATGAACTTGTCTGTCAGTGAGAGGATGTCCTCTAAGGGGGGCTCTATAGCACTTTAAAACTTCTCTTGTCTTAGAATTGCACCTACAACAAATACACCTTACTACAGGTTCACTGCGATTATTCTGTGATCGACAGGTTTGTTTTGCCACTGGGCGGGCATCGCCTCTTTTAGGAGCTTCGATATATTCAGGATTGTTCTTGTTCTGGGGTCTATTAGTTTGCCTCTCATAAGTGCGAGAGGAGCCTCTCTTGTAAGACGATGAACGGGTTGAAGTACCTGTTGCCTTGTGGGACGTCTCGGCAACCTGAGTGGCTCGCACTTCTCTTTTAGGATGTGGAACACGATTTGACCTTGTCGATTTCTTGTATTCTGTACGATTTGGTTCTCTATGCGTTTCCGTTTTCGGTGATTGAGAACGATTTGAAAACTCTCTTAAAAATGCTTTGGGTTCGGCTCTTGTTCGATGCAACTTTGTTCCCGCGACTAAATTCTTTTTTTTTGAGCGCTTAGGAACATCAACTGACGCCTCACCTGGCTTGGAATTCCCCGTGCGTTGTCGACAACAGCTGCATACCGATCTGTTGCAGACCAATCGCTTGCCCGGAATAGCTGGCCAGGAGACTTCGAGTTCTCGCCTGTTATTTTGGGCTTTTTAGGCACTTCTTACATTACTTATTAATTAATGAATTGCTCTCTTACCATTCATCTGGCTGGCATATGGTGATCATTGTTCCAAAGCGATTGCCCTTCTGCCGAAAAGGCACCAGGACAATTGGCAATTTGGGCTTGCCCCTGCTCCTGCAAATAAAACGAAAATCAGAACTACTTTGAAAATTTCAAATCGAAAAACCTAAGACTATACAACTATTTCTTTGATATAATCCCTAGTACTTTGCTTAATAGCTAGGCCCACATATAAATATTATCTCAGTTAGTTAAATGGAATGTTTGTATTCTCTATAGTAGGTACTCACTTAATGGGCACACGATGACAATATTTCTTCAGTTCTTCCATTATATTAGCAATATTTGCTTCATTTAGAGAATGGAGCTTCAAATGTCCATTGCAATCGGAATCGCCGTAATCTCTGCCGCCCTTTTGAAAGGAATATTTCTTGGAAACGCGTGTATATGCCGTCACCTTATATTCCTCCAAGGTTGGCAGAAATTTATTGTCGTCCTGCTTCAAGAGACATAATTTTAGATTCTTTCGACGCAACTTGTCACCTATTGGACCACAAGCATACGAACTTTTTCTGGAGTCTGTATTTGATTCCTTCTTGAGCAGATATTTTGCGCAAGTTGATTTAGTGCATTGGCTTACTTCTACCTGATCGCATATGGAATCTTGAGCATTATTTATTGATCTATTCAAGCTCTTCTCACTGGCTAGCTTTTGTATTTGGGGCGACGAACACTTCCTTATTTGAACGGAGTATGTGCTCATGTCCGAGCCAATAACGGGTGGAATTGTCTTCGATACATTCGTAGCACTGAAACGACTTTTGTTTGACTCCATAACAAGTTCTAAAATGTTTTGCGTAATTGATGGCCTGGACCTACAGTTCGTTATATTACTGTGGGCCAACTCAACTAACGGCTTCCTCGACTCTTCGGATAATTTGTTAGCCGAGGCAGCTGGCTGCATGGAATTCATGGATTTTGCGTGTGTTGAAGGCTGAGCACATTTTTCTCTACCAGTCTTAGAACATTTAATGCTGATATCATCGGTTGCAGTGGTTTTTTGTGCATCGACTCTATCCATTCGCATATTGGAGTCACATTGACTTCTATTACAAGCATTTTGCGGCATTGCAGCTAGGCTCTGTTTATCATCTAAAGCTGGCACTTGAATGGAAGCCAGCAGATCTTGAAGCACATGTGTCTCCATGTATACGCTTTGCGACTCGATATCTTTTGATGAGGAATTCATACTTTTAAGCTCGGCTAGTGAGCGATTGGCATTGCCTCGTTTTTGATGCACACAGCTTGGGGCCACATCTTTCTGCATACACGATCGAACATAGGTGGACTTATCCGAAAAGGTTTTAGGAGGCTGACTATATAGTGAAGCGGCCATAGTCTGATTTGAGGTCGAATCTTGGTAAGCTCTGCGACACGATTTGCAGTCACACACGAATTCGCTCTGTCCCGATTCCATTTGCGTACCATCGAAAGTTGAATAATCATACATCGAATTCTGCATACTCTGCTCGTTCGTTTCCATAGTTTCCATGCTGTTGTTGCAACCCTGAACAGAAGGTAGGAAGTTCCTCAATGGCGGTAAACCATGGGCCATGGCACTGCCCACACATTTGCTTCTCATATTTTTAAATGCATTTGCCTTGCTCTCCGCCTCCAGATCTTGAAAGTCCCTATAGTTGCAGGTATTTTGTTTACGTTCCAGCAATTGTGATGATAACTGCGACATATTGTTGAAATTGGGGAATCGTCTGTTTTCCAAATAACTTTCGCTAATGGGCGCATCATCAAAGTAGAAGGTATCGCGTTCCACTGATCTGTGTGCATTGGTATTCCAAGAGAGGGTCTTAGATGTTGTCGGTTTGGTAACCTGGCGCTGCAACGACATCTCCGATTCGGCTGGAGCTCTATACCTAATTGTATCTTTGCTGCACGGCGGTAATGGGGTACTGGCTTTGTCTTTAAATTGCGAACGATTTCGATATAATTGCCTTCTGTTAAAGGCATCGTTCATTTCATTCTCCCTACTCGCAGTCAATGCATCGATATTGCAGCCTGTTCTCTGGGATGCCAGTGTTAAGGCCGAGTTCGGTGGAGGTCTGTTTCCAGACAAGTTATTGCTACAGATCGAATATTGACTGATGGGATTGCCGCAGCTGTACTGTGAAAATGTATTATTTGGCATGGTTTGTGTTTGAGAGCACATTTCGCGCATATTGGGCTGTGATGGGACTCTCTTGCGTTTGACCACTTTTCTTTTTTTGGCAATCTTTTCCACAGCCCGTGGCTGGGTGGACTCAGCAGGACACTGCGGCTGCACCACCTGGCTCTGTGTGGTTATCAAATGATGGCTCTGTGGCTGCACGGGCTCTGCAGGAGACGGCACCGCAACGGGCACACGTGCCAGCATAGGCGGACAACAGCCCATCGGACGCATTGTAATGCACAACTTACATGGCGGCTCAGCCAGTGATGAAGGTGTCCTGGCTACGGCTAGGTTGTGACTTTCCTTGACCAAGGCATTGTTGTTGGGATCGGGCAGTGCTTCTGTTTTGTTATCCATTATGGAAAAGCCTTTGTTCATGGTATTCATCGAAGTATTTGATAATAGGTCCCAAATGTTACCAAAACAAATTGTTCCGGGTAAATTAACGCGTATGGGCACATTGAGGTCAAACCTGTTACAGGATGTAAAAGAATTCATGAAAAAAAAAAAATTGGGAACTGAAAAAACAAAACTCTGAACTCTGATGCTTACCAAATTTCATTGCTGTGGCTTTGCTCGAGCTTCGGCTCGGGTATCGGCTCGAGCTTCGGTTCAGGAAGAGCTGGGGTTTGGGCCTCAGGAGTTGGACTTTTTGGCTTGCCCAGCTTCTTGGACTTCTTTTTTGGTTTGGTCTTCTCCAACACCTTCTCATTCTTGATAGGTTCCATTTTTGGTGTGACTTTGGCTGGCTTTTGTTTATTTTCTTTGCGTTCTAGCGGTGCAATTAGTTTTTTCAGATAATTTAAGTCCACGGCACAGGATGGAGGACATTTTTGGGTTATCGTTAATGCTTTTGCCATTGCTCCAATCTTCTTTTTAACGGTTGTAGCAGCTTTCATTAATTTCGATTTCCGACTATGCTCAAGCCTTGGACTAAGCTCGTTGATTGATGATGGACTTAGCCTAACCGGAGACCGCATGTTGAGATCATCTCGCTTTGCTTGATCTACCATTTGAAGTTTTGCTCCTTTCTTAGATGACGCAGTAAGCCTCGAAAGCCTTGGACTAAACTCGTTGGGTGATGATGGACTTGGCCTAACCGGAGACCCCAATCTGAGATCATCCTGTTGCTGGCGGTTTGTTTGATCAGCCATTTGCAGTCTTGCCCCCGTCTTAGATGACGCAGAAGACATTGAAAGCCTGGCACTTAACACGGTGGGTGATGGAGATCCCATTTTGAAATCATCTAGCTGCTTGCGGCTTGTTTGATCAGCCCCATTCTTAGATGATGCAGTTGACCTTAGGCTTCGTGCCGAGCGAGCCTGATTTGCCTCCCGCGGCGAGTTGAACTTAGCAGAGACTCTTGATTTAGTTGATTCTGTTGCAACATCGATTGGCGTTAACAATTTAGAGCCATCTCTCGAAGTATCCTCCGTTTTGCTGAATTTTCGACTTAATTTGAGCGATGCTGAGGCTTGGGATATTGGTGAACCATCTATCGATTCCAGTGGTAATGACGTCTTTGAGTTGTCCGTAGAGAGCTTTCTAGATTCTGAGGCTTCATCAGAGCTATCCTGAACCAGTTCTCCGCGCAATTTAGATGACGCGGAGGCTTTACTTTTAGTTGACCCTGAAATGGATCCAGTTGGCGTTAAAAATTTGTCGCCTTCCCTCGAAACGGCCTCCGTTTGGCTACTTCTTCGATATTCCCCTTGAGATTTGGATGACACAGAGATTTTTTTTTCAGGTGAACCATCCATCGATCTCCTTGAGAAAATCATATTAGAGCTGTACGCATGTGACTTAGCAGATCCTGAAGCGCGAACAGCGCTATTCTCAGGCACCTTCTGCGGTGGACTAGACATTTCAGAGGCTTTCAATTTAATTGATGCTGTGGTTGATCCCATTGGCGATATTAACCGAGACGAGGTCTCCGTTTTGCTGTCTCCTTGATATTCCCTTAGCTTGGAAGACACCGAGCCTCTTGTTGAACCATTCATAGATTCCCTTGGTTCTGTCATCTTTGCGCTCTTCCTAGATGATTTATTAGACACTGACGCGTGACCAGAGCTAACCTGAGCAGGCCCTGGAGCCGATTTAGATGACGTAGAAGCTTTAGATTTGATTGATTCTACAACAGAGCCAACTGGCGTCAATAGCCCAGAGCCATTGATCGATGCAGTCATCTCTCCATTGTAGCTACGGTCATCTATGCGATTACTCGTTGCAACCGTAAGACATCTCAACGGATATTCGTTTCGTTTACAAACGCCCGAATATCCCATCCGAGACGTGACACTTGACTTGGCATCATCCTTTTTATATGCTTGCAGGGCCGTAATGTTATGTATTACTTTTATGGACTCCTGACTCATATGCTTGGGACAATTTTGGCATATACAGCCATTGCTGGCATCTGTTACCAATTGATGGTGGCAACAGTATTGACAGCATCTATGTGAACAGCAACACATTGCATTAAAATTATACATTTTTTATTAAAAATGTCAAACAATCGGTTTGAGAATTGCTTCTATTTTTTTTTTAATAAAAAATCTGTAATTTAAACGGAATATGTCGTCAATCTCATTCGGGAAGCAAAAAGTTTACAATTCGAGGGAATAACTTAAAATTTTGCGCCGAATACTGTGAAATAAATTTTACGATTGACAGCAAATTCAGTTCATAAATAAATTTCAAACAATTTCCAAATCATTTTGAATATAGCAGCCCTACTCCACCACACGGATTAGTCTTAGGACCAAGAAACAATATATATATATATATTAAAGTAATATTTTGTGAGAGCTTATCATATTAATGTTTTGACAATTTTGATAATACATATATATATATATAATAAAATGCAACTATTTATAACTTGAAACGGAAGCATTGACCAAATTGGATTTAGCTCAACTCTGGTTAAAACTCTCCATAGATAAACCGAGTTTGTAATGTACCGTACATTATACATAAGGTCGCTGTTGTGCACTCCTTGTTTCACTGTACATGGCACGTTACCTTACGAACTCCTTTCGGTAAAGCCAAGAAATACTGTGCGGAGGCTACTCTAGTGGCCCGGCCAGCAGCGCGGCATCATGAATCGCATCTGAGCATACCGCTGCCGGCAACAGGGCTGTCGATAACAATTCCCCGGAAACTGTAGTGAATGCATGATATTTTGCTGCTGCAGCTGCAGCTGCTGCTGCTGTTGGGGATGATATTGTTGCAGTGGTAACTGTTGCATTGAAAACTGTTGTTGCTGTTGTTGCTGTTGTTGCTGTTGCTGTTGTTGCTGCTGTTGCTGTTGCTGTTGCTGATAGCAACATTGATTCTGTGCATCGTGCATGGCATAAAATCCTAGGCTCATCAGTGGTGCTGGCGTTTTTGGAGACACCATCAACGGGCTTTGTTCGGTTGTTCCATTCGTATTTGTCACGGAGGCTAAGGCCTCTTCTCTTACCGGAAACTGTACCGAGCGTCTTTGCTGTGTCTCATCGACATCCGCTGCCGTTGGAACATCGTTCAATGTGTCCGCATCCGAGCACGGTGGCTCCCGATCGCCTGCGATCTCCTGCGTTAAATCATTGCTCATCCCACAGCTTGTCGGATTATGGACCAGAGCCGGCGTGTGCTGCATTTTGGACGAGCCGCAGACACTGCTTAATTGCATTTGAACTTGGGCGATTTGGACCTGCGCCTGCTGCATCTGGCTCTGCAGCTGCTGGGCCAGCAGCTCGGTTAGGCCGCTTTGGCAGGTCTGTGTCGATATTCGGACAGGCACTTGCATTGGCTGATGATGACTGCACATGCTGTAGCAGGAGTTCGGATGCATCTGCTGGCCCGGATAGCCAAGGTTTTGCTGTTGCCGGCAGGACGATCTGTTCCAGGCAATGCCACGATTGTTATAGGAACAACTATTCCGATTCATTCGGTTTCCTTGCTGCTGCGACTGCTGATACGCGCAGCTTTTGCTAGGGCACTTCGACTTCGACTGTTTCTGCTCCATGCAAGCTGTTTTCCCCAACTGACCCGGCGATATGAATGATGGCAGCAAATATTGTGGTGCGGCATTCCAAAAATTGCTTTGATGCGATGGCAAATCCAAATCATTTCCGATCGACGAGTTCAGCTCATCACAGTCGTAGCTTAGGCGACAGAAAAACCCGTCAGGAACATTTATCTACCACTCGGATTCAACAAAAACGTACCTTATAAAGTGCGCTTCCGTTACTTCACAAGCCTCAACCATGTCCTCATAGTCACCATCTTGGCTCGGACACACCATCTCATTAGCATTGTGCTCGGAGCGACGACGCGATGGAAATTCGCTGCGAAAGGATGGGCAACCGCATTTCGATGATTTGCCATCCAAATCGTTACTCTTCGTCGCTTTATTTTCAGCTGGTTCCTCCTTTGGGCCGCTCTTTCTCTCCTCAACAGCAGCTGCGCCGACAACGGCTTCCACCACGGGATCGCTTACAGCTGGCGCCGGCTGCTGTTCAATGTTCGCCGGTTCAGTTTTAATGGTGCCAGCTGATAATTTTGATTTGGACGTGGCCTTTTTCTTTCGACCTTGTGAAGTCTTTGACGGCGAACTGCTCTTTGGACTTGGCTCCACCATAATGAGTGGCAACATATTGGCTTGCAGAATATCCTCGGATTCTTTGCCTCTTAATGTCCGCGTACTAACACTATCATGTGTCTGCTTGTCCTCGTTGTCCTCATCGGAATTGGCGGCAAAGTCATGCCTATTCCGAGCCTCCATCATTGTTGTTACCAACGTACTCTTACTATACCAAGGATCCTTCAGGTTATGAAGCGGTATCTGCATATCAACCACGTGAGGTGAAATCGAGCGGTTGGACGTTCGGGTTCTTATTGGCGGCGCCAAAAATACATTTCTCGTTGGGTTACGTGGACGACGCCGTTTAATGGAGTTGTTTCTGCTTTCCAAGCTCCTGCCTCTATTTTGCGCGGGCACACTAAAGTTCTGTGACGGCAACAATCTGTTTCCCTGCCCAGTAAAACCCCTTACGGGTGCCCGGCTGTTGCTCGCCGCCTGAGCAAATCTGGAGCCCATCGGATTGGACATACGCAATTTATGTGCATAATCCGCGGCCGCAGTATACCACATCGGGCTGCTACTCCTTGCTCCACTGGGGCTAACATTTTTGCGCATTTTGCTGGGCGCACGCAACCAAATTTAACAATACTTCCGTACAAATTTATCTGTCAACATTTTCCAAAACTTCAATATACAGCTTTGATTTGTCGAAAACAACAAATCATTAGCATATTGTTAAATGTCAAATGCACAATAGTTGGTGGCTATTAAAAGCATCTTCTCCTATCGAGAGCTCCAGCTACGGCTGACGCGAGAAGAAGTTATGTCCTGTTCGAGAACAATTATTCATCGATATTTAGAAAACTTGGACTAAAACTTGGATAGGGAAGGAGGAACAGAAATGCATATTTCCAGTCTATAGAAGAGCTACTTTAGGCTCTTCTCTTCAAAGTTGTAAGGAATAACTTCTATACAAAGAGATGGCACACATTGATGCTGGATTCTTTTCGAATCGCATTCAATATATGAATATTAAATTAGTTAGATAAAATGATCACTGATCAAATGATCAAGTGACATCGCATTTTTTTGGCATTACGATTGTTCAGCTTATTACGAGTTCATATCAAATCTGTGGCATTATGGAACTGAACCTTGATCTAAACATCAAATAATTATTGTTATCTTAAATTATATGTGTATATTTTAACGATGAATTTTTAAGTGGACAAAACTCTTTTAAAATGTGTGCCTGTGGTGCGGAGAAGTGAGTCCTCCTGCTTTCTTTTCTTCTACCAATTAAATTTGTAATATTCACTTATTTTATTTTTTTTAAGCTTCTCAAGCTTTTATCCTGGTTGCAATGCTGGGTAAGTGAGTTTTTGTTGTAATAGTTATTAAAAGCAAATGCACAATCTGCGGATTTTTAGCCCCCCAAAGACTTGTGATTGTGGGCGTTCGGGATCGGCGGTTGTACAAGAGACGAAATTCTCAAATATGATACCGCCAAGTTTTCTGTGCAATCGAATTTCTAACACAACAAAAAAAAAGGAAGAAAAACCAAAACCATGCAGTTGTCCGACCAAAAAAACAGACAAGGTGCCCAAGAAGTGTAAATGTGTAGACAAGGGTGTCGATACGTGTGATCTGGAGAACGAAGTGTGTAAAAATGCTTGCGAAATGAGTAATACAGACTATACAAATATGATAGCGGCACATGAACCCGTAGGAGTCAATCCTACATTAGGGCAAGGAACTGCCATACCAACTATTGGCATAGGCAACGATGTACCTGGCGCTGCTTTTATGGGAGCAATGGATCGTTCAAGCAACGTACTTGACATGAATCTGGAACAGCCACAACGGATTGAAGCTATGCCAGCGGCTGGCTTACCCAGCAGGACATGTCCCCAGTTTGATCCTTGCACAGGTCTAGAACGCCAATGCCCGTTCAAGCCAGCACCGCAAGCCGCATATATGCCTTATATGGGTCCAGTAATTCCACTGCCAAGCCTGAGTCCCTATTTCTATCCAAATTTTCAATGTTGTCAAAAACCCACACAAGGTCCATGTTGCTGTGCGCCAAGTGTTCCATTGCCGGAGTGTGCGTGTGATGCAGGCGCCTCCACAACGGAAACTACCAACACCAGGGACAAAGTGGAAAAGCCCAAAAACAACAAAAGGAACAAGGATAAGCTTAGGCAGCCGAATGGCAAGAGTAAGGAGAAAACAAACAAAGAACTTCAAATTGTCAATTGCTGCAATGCGAGCTCGGATCTAATCGAGCGGTGAGTTCAATGTCAGGTCAAATCTGATAGCTTTCAATAGAATACATCACACATGCTGGAATTAAAAAAAAACATAGTGAAATAGTCCCTCTCTGAGGTCACATTGCTCATGTAGACATTCTATTTGGCAGCATTTGCACGTCCCTGCAAGTTCCGCGTCCACCGGAAAGTTGCTATCTCTTGCTGCCGATTAAAATGGCCACTGATGGCAATGAAGAATTTATGCAACCCGATGGCAAGCAACAAAATGAGAAAGTTGATTCACCAAGAAGGAGCAAAGATGGTGCTAATGGATCACAACCTGCTAAAAAATGCAACAAGCCGACGCGCAACTGTGGCTGCAACACGGTCATCAGCGGAAAGTAAGTCTCAAGCTGTGCTTTGTGTATCTCATAATTATCGTCAATTTAATTTACAGCCTTCAGGACAACGGTGAGGATCCACAAGAGGAAGAGGATGAGGAAAACAATAATCCGTCTGGCAACTGTTGCAATTCTTGCTGCAGTCCTGCTCGCTGTTGCTGGCCATGCTGTTATTATAATCCCTGCACGGGTTGTTATTATTGGCGCAGTAACTGTTGCTGTCGCAAAGGCTGTTGTAATAATTCATGCAGCTCTTGCCCACAGCCCTGTCCCCAGCCCTGTCCACAGCCTTGTCCACAGCCCTGTCCTCAATCGTCTCCCCAGCGCTGTGCCCAATGCTGTTCCCAATCCTGCCCCTTACCAAAGAATCAATCAGAGAACTCCAGCCCAAAGGTAGAAACTCCCAAAAATGGTTCACCAAACTCCTCGAAAAGGTCTAGTGATGACCGGGTCGTGGCAGGAGCTATGACGCCATTCAAGCCTGAGATCCAAGAGCTCTACGAGCGTTGGTTGGGATTTAATCAGTATGCGGCCGATAGTCTCCACGGAAGACCACCAACTCCGATTCATTCCGGTCCAATTTACTATCGGGCGCCGCAGTTTACGTATCGTAGGTCGCAATGTGATATCAGATCCTTTAGATCACCGTCGCCGCCGCAGGTGATGACGCGACGTTCGGAGGAGGACATTGATTGGGCGCCACTTTAGTGTTTTAAAACATGACCACATTTATCGATCAAATTGAAAGTGAAAGTTGATATAATCGATCACGAAACTTGAATCATTATCACGAGCTAAAAAACTATCGATAGTTTCGATATTTTAGATTACCATTATCGATACTACCGATAGTAATATTAACTCGGTGTTATGACAAAATTTTTGTATTATGACAATAAAAAGTGTGCAAAATGAAGTTTTCTAAGAAGTTATTTTTAGAGCATTTATCGAGAGCTTAACTATCGATCGTTTCGATATTTCAGATTGCCATACTACCGATAGTATTAACTCAGTGTATAAATAAATGTTTTATATCTCAAAAAGTGTTCAAAATGGAGTTTTTTAAACAGTTATTTAAGGGATTAATGTCTGGATTGACTCATGAATCATTATAACCGGAGCTAAACTATCGATAGTTTCGATATTTTAGATCACAATTATTGATAATACCGATAGTAGTATTAGCTCAGTGTTATGACAAAAAAAGTGTGCAAAATGGAACTTTCTAAGCTCGATATTAACTTGCACAAAAATATTTACTTTTAAAGTTTTGTTGTATTAGTTTTTAATTTCCATTTATTTTATACACTTTCGTATGTGTGTTTCTTTATATTATACATATACATAGATCTTAAATTTGTGGGCTTTGTAGAAAAACTTAGGTGTGTGTTTTAAATACTCTTGACATAAAATTAATAATTTGTGTTTTGATTGTTATTTAGAGAAAACCTAACTAAAACCTATGAACATAGCACATTATAAATTGTTTGTGTTGTGCAGCCATAAATATGCGTATTTTATAAAGCAATATCTAGATGAAAATTGTTAAATGGAAAATATATATGTGTAGATATAGACATAAGAACTATGCGAACAAACCTATTGAAAGTTGCCGGCACCTATGAAATTTCTAAACATAGATTAAACTGAGTTTGGCTTGCATTTTGCCCATAAACATTAATTGATTATCTTTTGTTTCGTGTATGCATAATAATATAAATTGAAACGTACATATATCCCTATATATATATATGTATGTATGTATGTAATGTGTTTGTTTATATATTATTTATAACTTAGGTTCTACATGGGCGTCGAGCGCTGGCGCACTTATAAGCTTTAACAAAAAAATATATATATATATTGTGTATATATATATAAAAAATAAAAAGAAAACAAAAACTACGTACATGTCTCAAACTATTTACATTGGACAATTGTCGGTTGGGCTGTCTGTTTAAAATCCTTTCAAGCCTTTGCTAATATCTTGCACTTGAAATGTTGTGTTGTTCGCGATTTAAATTACTTCTTGCTATTTATGTATGAATATAGAGTACACGTAGTTTTGCTTTAATCACATGTTGTACGCTCAACTTGAATGGGTTAAATAACTTAAGGAATTATCGACGAATGGATCCAATTTGCTCTCTAGGCATTCTCATCGGTTACATAGATGTAGCCATGCTGTTGCAATATGCTCAGGCGTTTTTCAACGGCATCGCGATCTGTAAATAATACACTATTATTATAAATAATTGAATGGGACGCGCAGCCAATTGAAACGCACACTTATTCAACAGCATTTTGTCCTGAGGATGATTGCATTTTTGCACCAAGGAGTGAAGCAATATGTGTGCCGTGTTGTAGCGTTCAAAGCAGTTCTTGGTGTTTTTCAGCAGCTCATCCAGGGCCGCCGTCTGGCACTGCAAAGTCAAACGAAACAATGTTGGTTTGTAAACACATCGAGTTAGTTGGATGCTTCTCTATACACTTACCATATCCAGCGCATAGTCATAGAGTATTTTATCCGCTGTTATGTTAAATGCATTTGCCTTCTGAAGCAGGCCGCTCCCATTCAGACGCTTCGACTCGAACAGAATGCTGCGATATTTGGCGTTCATAGTGAGCAGCGCTGCAACAGATAATACGAGAGAGGATTAGGTTTAATCGGGCAGCGAATGCGATTTGGTTCACCAACCATTCTTTACGTTCGATGACGGCTTCAGCTGTCCGTTGCGCAGCTGCTGCGAGGCCAAATTAAGGCCAGACGATAGCAGCTGCAGGGCGCGCACAAGTAGCACCAAGCGCTCCGCTCTCTTGCAGTGTTCGGGGGCATGGGGTGGAATCTGATGCTGCTCGGTGGTTGTCTGGCTGCCGGCAACCATAAGCGTGGAGAGCGGCGCACAGCGTGAATCGGCAACCTCCTGAATGCAGTCGGTGAGCGCTAGCACAAAGTTTAGCTTGGAGAGTGTTTCGTTGTGCTCGCGATCCATCAGTGTCTCCTCAGACAGTTCGGGTGCCTGGAATGCATGCGGCTCAGTGCCTGGCCC